CATGATCAGTTTAGATACTAATTCATAAGAAAGACCGCCCTCCTTGGGCGAATTTGGATATATGTTGTTGCTCAGGGAAATATAGACATTTGATCAAGGCAAAAGATTGTCTTCCTTGGAGTATGAAGTTTCAGTCTATCTCACTAGAGTCGAGTTCTCTCAGCTAGAAAGAAATGATGAAATATAATAATTGATATTAGTATATTTAATTTCTGATTTTAAAGTTTATTTTAGGAAACATAATTATGGTTAATTTATATTATTTCCTTGCTTAGAATAAGGTCTTTTGAAACCCCATAAAAATGGGTTTTATGAGATGTATTGGGGGAACTTTTGGAAAATGAATAATTGATTCTCCCCCTATTTCTCTGTATTTTCTTCCCCTTTCTCCCTCCTTTCTCCTCTTCTCTTCCCTTTCCCCTTCTCCTACAACTGTTCTATTACATCCGACGTTGCTTGACTGTATACTTCTAGATCAGGTGATATCGAATGCAAAAATCTCGAACATGAAACTTGAAAATAACTTGGAGAAAAAAATGAATCAGAAATCAATTAAATTGAATTGATTTGGAGTGAAGAAAATGGAATGAAATTGATTGAATTTATAGATTCAATTTGCCTTTTGTCAATGATCACATATTTTCGCACATATTAATTACTATTATATTGCACCATTTTCAGATTGAGTCATTAACTAGTGGTCTAGATCACACTTTCAAAAGGTTGTGACTCTTCATTATACACCTTTTACGCTTGAAGAGTTGCATCCAATCGTATTACCTATTGAAGGCCTTTTCAATTCAAATATTTTAACCTTTATATACCCATGTATTACAACAATCACCAACATGAGTGAAATAAGTCGACTCAGAATAAGAAAGACGAAAAAGAGTATTATCTAAAAGATAACGTACCAAAATAGGTAATTTTTCATTTTTGAACATTCCTTAGTAAGAATCTATCGCACTCACTTGGCTAATCACTGAACGCAATATGTTAAACTGTCGATCGTTATTCGAAGCCAAGACAATTGATCAAGCATAATATCTCTTATATCAAACTTTGATCCTCTATTTGTACATTATTTTGGCCATGAACTTTTTTGGACTTTGTAAGTGTGCTAGAAAATGCATCTAAGTAAAATTTTCTTTTATTTTTTATTTTTTATAAAACTGGCCAAGTTCGAATTCACATAAGCAATATTATATAAAGAGTGTCACATAAGCAATATTATATAAAGAGTGTCCTATAATACTTCACTTATATTATTTACAAGAAATACTCATTGAAAGCATAGTTTATACTAAATAAACTTTTGTAGGCAATACTTGCATAAGAGAAATGAGGACTTAAAGCTCTGAAGTGCTTCTCATCTAGTCATTAATTAGTTTTCTCATTGAACTCAATCTGTGGGATTCCCAGTCGCCATTTTAGGTTTCCATTAAGCTGACTAATTAGTTTTAGGCTTTGCACCCAGTTTTCTCGATACATAGTTTATTTGCTCTCTAGATAACCTATTTGTAAACGAATCCAATAAATTATTTTTTGATATAATAATCAATATTATTTCATTTGCTAGAAACTGCCAAATAGTATTAAGTGTATGATGTATATGTTGAGACTTACCATTATACACAACATTTTGTGTCATACATAACAAACAAAAGTTATCACCACTTGGAAAATCCTTTCAAATTTTTTGAAGTCATCATGTTTCCATCTAACTATGTTCAAAACTTCAATTTTATCTTTCGATTGTCAAGTTGTTTGGAGAATTTTTGTGAAATAAAACAATCTTAATGGTAAAACATATTTAATAGTATTTTTGAATCCTTGCATTGGATATTCAATATTCAGCGGAGCACGAGTTTTAAGTTTATAACATGGCATTCGCTCTAGCTAGTGCAATTTATCATTTCAAATATTCTTCGAATATCCAAAATTCTAATTTGAATAAAGTAATTAAAAACCCTTGGATACATCCGAACTTTAATTGGAAATATGATGCAAACGACAATCTTATTCCCCACAATTCTAGATATAACTTAGTTTAGCTACATAATGTTCATCTAATAAAATATAGTTTGATCATATAAAAAATTATGTTTATCTATCGAATAGATAATTTTATTTCACATTTATTCAACATATAAAATGACTATAAATGAATATCAATTTCGCATGAAAGTCCATACAGTTTCATACTTAAGACCTACAACTCAAAAAATAAAAATGAAAAGCAATTTTTTCTCATTTTAATAAAATACGGTTCTATTTTGAACCGTGTTCGATCCAACTTTAATTGGACCATTTAGATTTGACCACAAACGTCACATAGATCCAGATATAGCTCTCACGTTGCATCATGTTGGTCAGATCACACAAATGAGTCACGTAGGAAAAAGGAATGCGCATTCGAAACACGAAGCTCTTCGATGCGCCTTCACATTAGCACTTGAGCTGTACTAGCCAATAGAAATTTTTCTACCAGTTAATCTAGGTGCAATTGTGCTTGTTTGGTAAAAATTTAAATATAGAATTTAATCTAAATTAAAATTAACAATTAATTTTAATAACATATTTTATGAATTTCACAACTTTTCAACAATATATTTCATAAATTTATATCAAAATCTACTAAAAATCTGATTTTCAATCATCATCAAACAGTAGCTGTATATAAATGCACACGTCGATGAGTCATCAATCATTCACTTTGATTTCAAAGTTGTCAGTTTGATGCGAACCCCGTAGTAACTTAGACTACGAAACCCACAACTAGATTGATGCGGAACCCGAGAACGTCAATTGATAACCAGTTTGGATTTGAATCTAACAAGATGAAACAAAGAACCCAAAGATAACGGTGATGCAATGGACCCCTTGCTTACAAATTGAAGAACCCACGATCCGATGTTGAACGTCACAAGGAGTTATCCTTGATAAGTTCTAAATTATTGTTCAAGGAAGAACAAATTGGAAGAAAGCAAAAGCTTCTCTTGAATTCAATAATAATTGCCAAAAAAAAAAAAAAAAAGAAAAGAAAAAGTCGTTTACGCTAAAATCGTGCAAAATCGTCAAAGTATGGAAAGAAGTCTAATTGATATCAAATTCTAACAAAATAAAGAAATTCGCGAAAAAAAGAAAACTTTTGCTGAATTTTTTTGTACCATGCAGCCACATGGTACATTTACATGTGGTCGCATGGAAGAAATTGTCGCCCCTCAAGAAAACTTTGCATGGGTCTGTGGGGTCGCACTACTTCAAAACCATGTTGCCGCATGATTGGTACTTTGGCCTCCGTCTTTGTCCGCTTGTATTGAGTTGATCCATTTTGATTTGGCTTTCGACTCGAAGACGAAACTTGTCCCATTTTGAGTCCCGAACATCGTCCCATCAATGGTTTCTTAAACGAGCAATCCCATTGCTTGTTTCACTTGCTTTGCTCTCGATCGCGTCATCGGTCCGCCTTTGATAATCAACGGGTCTCGACTCGAACTCGCCGTCTTCAAGCTTGATTCTTGGATCACATCATCACCTCTCTCTTCAAAAGGATTCGTCCTCGAATCTGTACCTGCATCGAAAAGGGAAAGATCAGCAACGTTAAATGTAGCCGATAAATTATACTCACCTGAAAAGTCTACTTTGTATGCATTGTTGTTGATCTTCTCAGTGACTTGGAAAGGACCATCTCTCTGCGGTTGCAAATTAAACTTTCGCTGCTCTGGAAAATGTTCTTTCCTGAAATACACCCACATCTAATCTCCGGGTTCAAATGTCACACGCTTCCGCCCTTTGTTTGCCTTTGACACGATGAGCTTGTTCTTCTCTTCAATTTGCGTATGAACCTTCTCATGAAGTGCCTACACCATCTCAGCTTTCCTCTTACCATCCATGCTATCTCGTTCATTCACAGGCAAAGGAAATAAATCCAATGGAGTTAGTGGATTAAAACCATACACAATTTCAAAAGGTGAATAAGAAGTAGTCTAATGTACGACACGATTATAAGCAAACTTAATAAATGACAAGCAATCTTCCCAATTCCTTAAGTTTTTATTAATCACTGTTCGAAGCAATTAAGTCATGGTCCTATTTACTACTTCAGTTTGATCATCCGTTTGTAGGTGACAAGTTGTAGAAAATAACAATTTAGTTCCTAAGTTATTGCACAAAACACGCCAGAAATGACTCAAAAATTTAACATCTTGGTCCGACACAATACTCTTAGGGACTCCATACAAATGTACTATTTCCCTAAAAAATAAATCAGCAATGTTAGTGGTATCATCGATTTTGTGACATGGTATGAAGTGTGCCATTTTACTAAACCTATCAACCACTATAAAGATAGAATCCGGACCTTTCTTTGTCCTAGGTAACCCTAACACAAAATCCATAGAAATATCCACCCAAGGTTCACTAGGTACAGGTAAAGGTGTATACAAGCCATGGGGTAAAACTTTTGATTTAGCTTGTTTACAAGTTATGCACTTCTCACAAATCCGTTCTATGTTACTACGCATTTTAGGCCAGTAAAAGTGTTTCCCTAACATGTCTAAAGTCTTTTGAATCCCAAAATGACCCATTAGACCCCCATTGTGTGCTTCCCTTACCAATAATTCACGCATTGAACAATTTGGAATGCACAACTTATTCTCCTTAAACAAATATCTTTCATGTCTATAAAATTTGTCAACAGCCATTTTAGCACATGAATTATAAATGTTTGAGAAATCAAGGTCATTTTCATACATGCTCTTAATATGCTCAAAACAAAGTAATTTCGCACTTAAAGAGTTAAGAAGCACGAACCTTCGCGACAACGCATCTACAACTACGTTTTCATTACCTTGCTTATACCTGATGACGTATGGAAACATCTCTATGAACACCATCCACCTTGCATGTTGCTTGTTCAACTTACCTTGACCCCACAAGTGCTTTAGGGATTCATGATTGGTGTGTATCATGAACTCCTTAGGCCACAAGTAATGCTGCTAAGTCTCCAATGCTCGAACAAGGGAATACAACTCCTTGTCATACGTTGGGTAGTTTAGTGCAGCTCCACTCAACTTCTCGCTAAAGTAAGCAATATGTCTCCTTTCTTGCATTAACACCGCTTCAATACTTATCCCTGATGCATCACACTCAATCTCGAACGTTTTTAGGTAATGTCAAAATATGTGCTTTACACAATTTATCCTTAATGGTATTAAATGCAAGTTCTTGTGTTTCCCCCCAGTGAAAATCTACACTTTTCTTAACGATTTCAGTTAATGGTATCGTGATTGTGCTAAAAACTCTCACAAACTCTGCCTATAAAAACTAGCCAGACCATGGAAGCTCCTAACCTCAGTTATATTTTTAGGTGTTGGCCATTCTTTAATAGTTTTAATATTTTCCTCATCCACTTCAACCCCATAAGCACTAACAACAAATCCTAGAAAAACAACTCTATCCGTGCAAAACGTGCACTTTTTAAAATTAGCATACAATTGTTCCTTTCTTAACACAACAAGCACGTACTTTAAATGTTCTAAATGTTCACCTAGGACTTTGCTATAGATTAAAATGTCATCAAAGTAAACTACAACAAATTTTCTTATGAAAGTACGTAAAACATGATTCATTAAACGCATAAATGTGCTTGGTGCATTTGTGAGACCAAATGACATAAACAACCACTCATATAACCCGTATTTAGTTTTAAATGCCGTTTTCCATTCATCACCCTCCCGTATTCGAATTTGATGGTACCCGCTCTTAAGATCAATTTTAATAAAAACACAAGCACCATGCAATTCATCAAACATATCATCTAGCCTAGGAATAGGGTGATGATACTTTATTGTAATGTTGTTGATAGCTCTGCAGTCCACGCACATTCGCCAAGTCCCATCCTTCTTTGGCACCACTAGAACAGGAACAACACACGGGCTCATACTCTCCCTCACGTAACCTTTGCTCATCAACTCCTTCACTTGTCTCCGAAGCTCCTTCGTCTCCTCGGGATTGCTTCGGTAAGCTGGTTGGTTTGGAATGACAGCCCCGGGTATGAAGTCAATTTGGTGCTCCATCATTCGAACTGGTGGCAATCCACTTGGCACCTCCTCCGGAAACATATCTTCGAACTCTTGTAACAAATACTTAACTACGCTAGGGAGGGAGGTGTTAGACTCCTCAAGGGAGAGGAGAGAGTCCTTGTAAACTAACAACAACACTCGTCTCTTATCACTCAAAGCCTTTTTTAATTCACTCCCCCTCGCAAAATAGTTCACTTTTGGCTTTTCTCTCCGTTCAGCTGACTCTTTTTCTCTTCGCTCAACTGACCCTTTTTCTCTCCGCTCAACTGACTCTTTTTCTCTCCTCTCATGTGGCCTTTCTCTCTTCCTCTCCTTCTCGGCCACCTCGCTATTTTCTCTCATACTCACAGGCTCACTATTTTCTCTCATTTTTGTAGATTCTCTTGCTTGCCTTTCTCTCTCATTTCTCGATTTTATTTGGTCTTCATACACCTGAGTCGGTGTTAATGGCGCAACAGTAATGGACCTCCCATCTTTGATAAAGCTATACCGGTTCCTATACCCATCATATGTAACCTTCCTATTAATTTGCCAGGGTCTCCCCAATAGAATATGACCCGCTTGCATAGGCACCACATCATATACAACTTTGTCACTATATCTCCCAATTGCGAAATTAATTAACACTCGTTTATTTACCCTAACTTCCTCACTCTCATTCAATCACTGCAATTTATAAGGCCTATGGTGTCTCAATAATGATAAACCCAATTTCTTAACTAAAGTTGTGCTAGCCATATTTGTGCAACTCCCACAATCAATAATGAAGCTACATACCTGATCGTGGACGTGGCACCGAGTGTGGAATATGTTTTCCCGCTACTGCTCCGAATCATCTGTCTTGATTTGAGTGTTAAGTGCTCGCCTCGAGACCAACAGCTCCCCAACGGCAAATTCCGTCTCATCTTCATCACCAACATCCTCCAACGCTGGCATGTCATCATACTCTCCTTCGCTCTCACTTACCACCTCTTCATTGTCCCGCAATACCATGGTTCATTTATTAGGACAATGAGATGCAATGTGTCCCGTCCCCAAACACCTAAAACACTTGATGTCTCGACTTCGTGATGGTTGTGGCTCCGATTTTGGCGTTGTCCTACTAGCACTTTCTTCTTTCCCTTTCTGCCACTCACTTCTTCCTCTAGCTACTGCTTCACCCCCTTATTATTAACATCCCACTTCGACTTCCAATTTGGGTTAGAAGACGAAGTATTCACCGGTTGCTTCACAGTACCCTTCTTCTTCAGTTGTTTCTCCACCTTCATGGCTACATGCAACATGTCCTCCAGCTCCACGTAATACTGCAATTCCACTACATTAGCAATTTTCCGATTTAGACTGTTTAAGAACCGTTTCATGGTAACTTCCCGATCCTCCACCACATTTGCCCTGATCATGAGTATTTCCATTTCCTTGTGATAGTCCGCTGCGCTTCTCAACCTTTGAAACAGGCTCTGCAACTTCTGATGGATCTCCCTATAATAGTGGTTAGGAACGAACCGCTTCCTCATCAACGCCTTCAAATCCTCCCAAGTACTAATTGGTCTTCCCCCACACCATCGTTGTGTAGTAACCACTTGATCCCACCAGTTTATTATGTAATCAAGATTTGCCACTGATGTATCCATCCTCGTCATCCAAACTTCCTGTTTAGCCCTCCAAGTATTTTGTTGGTCCAGCCCATCTCTAACAACCCCAAAAACAAGTTCAAACTACTGTATCAAATCTTCTGATGTATTGTTGTGATAGCCGTGTTGGCTTGAGTTGGAACCTTCTTGTTCAGACATTTTCTCAATTTCTGCCTTACCAAATTTCACTCGGAATCATACAATTGGCTTTTACCCTCTAATGAGCTCACCACTCTGCCTTTTACCACTCAATGCTTTCACCAAGAGCTTCCAAAAATAATAACGAACTCACCGGATTAAAACTTGCGGATTCAACCCGAAACGTAAGTCAAGAGAATAATTTTCAAGGGATTTGGAAACAAATAGAATGAAATTTGAATGAACTCACTAAATTTCAACGGATCAATTGCCGAAATTGAAGAATTGAAGAAAAAAAGAACTTTAGACTTTAGGAATTTGAATGTGAACTTGTTGGTAGCAAATCAAGCAATTAATAATTTTTTTTTGACGTTAATAGTAACTTTTTTTAATATCCGGATGAACAGTAACTTTTTTTTTTAACAAGAGATTGTACCACCAATGAAAAATACGGATTGAAGGAATGAATTGAAGAATGACTCAAGAACAAGGAAGAAACTTGGAAATCAAGAAAAGTACAACACAAACAAGAAAATTAAAGATAGAACCTGATTAAATTGGGACCAAAACTCTGATACCAACTGATGCGAACCCTGTAGAAACTTAGATTACGAAACCCACAACTAGATTAACGCAGAACCCGAGAACGCCAATTAATAACCAGTTTGGATTTGAATCCAACAAGATGAAACAAAGAACCCAAAGATAACGGTGAAGCAATGGACCCCTTGCTTACAAATTGAAGAACCCACGATGTTGAACGCCACAAGGAGTTATCCTTGATAAGTTCTAAATTATTGTTCAAAGAAGAAAGCAAAAGCCTCTCTTGAATTCAATAATAATTGCAAAAAAAAAAAAAAGGTCGTTTACAATGTAATGGAGAGAGTATTTATACTAAAGATAAAAACCTAGCTAAAATCGTGCAAAATCTTCAAAGTATGGAAAGAAGTCTAATTGATATCAAATTCTAACAAAATAAGGAAATTTGTGGAAAAAGGGCAGAATGCATGGTACATTTTCATGCGGTTGCATGAAAGAAACTGTTGCCTCTCTAGAAAACCTTGCATGAATCTGTGCGGTCGCACCACTTTAAAATCATGCGGCCGTATGGTTGTTACTTTGACCTCCGTTTTCGTCCGCTTGTATTGAGTTGATCTACTTTGATTTGGCTTTCGACCCGAACACGAAACTTGTCCCATTTTGAGTCCCGAACATTGTTCCACCAATGGTTTCTTGAACAAGCAATCACATCGCTTGTTTCACTTGCTTTGCTCTCGATCGCGTCATCGGTCCGCCTTCGATAATCAACAGGTCTCAACTCGAACTCGCTGTCTTCAAACTTGATTCTTGGATCACATCACTATTCATAGACCTGTAGAAAGTGCACAAATTTTAAATTAATAAAAATAGTTCAGTCATGACAAAGACCAACCATTTCTTCTCTTGTAGAGGAGTACAGTGATCTCCAAAAAATCAATTCAACTATTCCATTTATCTGACTGGTGTGATTTGTAGGCTATTGCATCAATTTGAGGGTTTATTCAGTGTGCACTCGAAGGGTAGCGACGATGAGTTTCCCCATCATAAAAATAAAAATAAAAAATGAATATAAATAAGATTTTGGAACATGTAGAAGCATTCTAATTATATTATAATGCAAACCAATAGAATATAAAGTACACAATAAAACAAAACATGTCGTAATGTTATTGAGAACTTATTGCATAATTATATTTGTTTTAACTAAAAGTATGTTCATGCAAATATGATAAAATCGTGACGTAATAGTGCAAAATTTCGGATAGATTTTCGACCTATGGAAACCAAGTTTGCGCATAAAAAATATGCACAAATTGTGGCTTACTTATTTGTTTTTTTGACTGGCACAAATTGTGACTTATTGAAACGTAAAAATTAGTAGATCAAATGAAGCGAGTTATGTGAGCACAATTCTCTTTAAGATAGTTTTTGTCCCTACATTGGTACTAACTTATCAAATGAATGTCAATCTTCCAAAGTATAATGCTTCTTTCAAAATTAATATAGCTCACTATTAATTCTATCGAATGAAACAAAACTTGGCTGTACTCTTGAGGACCAGATGATATCGAATATAAAAATATCAAATACGAAACTTGAAAATAATTTTGATGATATAATTTGGAGAAGGAAAGAATTGGGAATCAATTAATTAAATTGATTTACAACCTGTTTGGGAGTTATTTTTTTGCCCCAAAAATTCATTTTTTGACCGTTATTTCACCATTTCAGTCGTCATATTTGACTTTTTCTCTCACATGTAGACCTCACTTTTCTCCTAACGGTCAAAAAATCAATTCTCAAAATCACTCTCAAACAGGCTCTTAGAGTGAAGAGAATGGAATGAAATTGATTCAATTTGTGGATTCAATGTTTGTATTTTTTCAATGATCGCATCTTTTGGCACAAATTATTTTTGTGCATTAAATCGCATTATTTTAGATTGGATCATGATTTCGTTCACGTCCCATACAAAGGTCACGACTCTTCATTATACACCTAATTATTGCACATATTGAAACTTTTTCAATTAATATATTTTAGCCCTGTTTGGCTCATTAAATTTAATTTTTAGGGAAAATATATTTTGAAATAGTGATGTATTGAAGATTGTGTGATTAAAAAAAAAAAAGAATTCTTTTGAACTTATGTGTAATATTATTTTATTGAAAACTTTGTGACTGAAATTAAAAAAGTAAAAAAATGTATTAGAGTTAAAAGAATCCCAAACAGGGTCTTAAGCTTTATATTTCAATTTTGATCAGTCTCATTGTACAAATCTGCGAACGTGTTTCATAGAATATGCACTTTGATATCAATGCCTTTGGTCAACATGAAGTGTCTTTTTATTTTTAATTTTTCTTTTCATTTTAAGACAAACAAATTCACACAACCTAAATTACTGCTAAAATTTTGTCTTGACCCCTAAATCTAAGCAATCAAGACTCCCCAAAATTATACCTACCGTTGAATCCATTCCCGCCTGTTCTTTCTTCCCTATTTCCCATTTGTTATCTCTCTCTTGCCCTCTCTGCCTCCTTTCCCTTTCCCTCTCCCAATTTCTCTCTCCGTTTTTCTTCTTTTTCTAATTTGATTTTAACGAGAATTGGGGGATCAGGAAGGAAAAGAAGTAGCAAATGTAACCACCCCGTAATTCGTTATTATTTTATTTGAATCCAGATTCAAGAATCCAATGTAATGTTTTATTACTAGTTTCTTGTTTTTCTGGGGAACTTTTCCGTGAATTCTTCCCCGTTTGAAGAAGAAATCAAGATTTTTGGGGCCAGCCCAGTTGGATCTTTTTGTTGTTTATTGCAGATAACAAGAAATTTCCAGGGCCAGGATCCAAAAATATAGCAAGTTATTGGGTTTTAGATCGCGAAATAAATTGCCACTTGTTGTTGAATTAGAAGAAGAGTGAGGATTTTGAAGCGATCTCGGATGCGAGGAGGTTGCAAAGAAGAAGATTTTGCCTGAATAATTGATTTGTGTGCGATCAATATGAATTCGCCATTGTTAACTTTGGTAATTGCTTGTTTAGGGATTTTCTTTGGTTTCTTTGCTCTCATTGTTGAGTCTCAACAGAATGTGAATCCTCCACCGCCACCTTCTGTCGACATCGACCCACCACCTCCATTAGCTCCGCCCCCTCCATTCGTTCCGCCGCCAACACCTCCTCCATTGGCTCCTCCACCTCCATTTGTTCCGCCACCACCACCTCCTCCATTGGCCCCTCCACCTCCATCACCACCACCGCCTCCTCCTCCTCCACCTCCACCTCCTCCTCCAACTCAATCACCACCACCTCCGCCGCCCTCACCTCTCGGTCCTCCACCGCCTTCTCCAAGAAAACGTCTTCTCCCACCTCCTTCAAACAAGTCGCATCCACATTTGGGGCCCCCACAGTTGAAAGATAAGCTCAACACGGGGAAGAAAATCGGGCTAATGTTTACGGGGATAGCTGGGATCCTGCAAGTTTGTGTGGTGGCATTCTTGTTGATTAGGAGAAGGCAAATTTTAAAGGAAGGAGGTGGTTATTAAACCAAAACTACAACAATATATATTTGGATTAAAATCACATCATTTGAATATTTTTCTGTTCAATTAGTTTTCCTTGGTGGATCATACTGAATCCACGGTTCCACTGTATAGAGATTCTTTAACTGCGGGCGAAACATCAATGGATTTGGGGACTTATCGGTACTCTTGTGTCTGCATCTGGGTTCCAGCTCTTGTAAATTGGTAATTATTGTTTTTGTGAATAGTTTTTCATTTGTGTGTTCATTATTGTGGAATGTCAAATGTTTATGTTGTATGCTGATTCTGTATAACTAATATGTTACCGAAAATATGGGTTTAAGATCCTGTAGTAGATCTATCGATGACTAGAACGTAGCGTGCAAAAGGATTCACATAGTTGAACCTAAATCTATTTGGGAATAAATATCATTTTGTGTAGATTAAAAGATGATTAGCTCGGAATAACAAATACAGAAGTCATCACCTGAGTTTTTCTTATCACCAGAAATGTCACCATTTGAGATTGTCTAAACTGATATCATTAACCAATTGGATTGAACTATTCACTAAATGATGGGCGTCGAATGTTTTCCTGTTCTTATTAATCATTTTTCTAGTTATATGGCTTTGAGTAATTCTGTTGTTGTTAGGTAGTTATCTAGAATGCGTTGTTTATAAGTTTAAAGAAACAGTACAATGTTTCTAACCTGCTTGTTGTTGGTTAACGAAAATGACATTGGGGAAACTGATCTCTTTAGAGTGCTTTGCACAAGTGCTATCATATTTTCTTTACTCTTCTTAGCTTATGCACAAATCCAGGATCATCTTTCGTGGGATAACATCTCTTCCTATTCATGTTAAATGATTTGCGGTAATTGCTAAGGATCCGTTTCCTTGTATCTTCTTCTAGATCTAGCAATGAACTAAACTTATCTGTCAACTCTTGCTTATTGTTGCTAGATAGAATTGTGATTCTACGTATGCCATTATTCATCTGTTGGATTTTAGCGTGAGGAAATTGAAATCTAATATAGATAGTTGGTTTTGTAGAATAGAATCTGAAATTCCAGCACCATTTTGATATATATGAACTATAACTTAGTCATTAATGCTTTGTGCTTAATAGTATTTTTACTCTTTTAGGCTGGCCGACTAAAGGAAACATCGTTTTGATGCTGTAGGTGATTGTGAAAGGAGAGGATTGACCCGTAGAACCATTTTCTGTTTGTCAGTAGGGAACGGACTTGGAATTACTTCTGGATTGCAACACACTACTTTATATATCTCATTTGTTCAAGTAAAGATGTAATTTAGGAAACCTGAGTTAAAGATTCAATTTCCGACTTTTAATCACCATAACAGTAATATTTTATTTATTTTCTATAATTTATATTGTAATACTATATACCTTTCTATGATGGAAATCAAATCTGCCTTTATTTCAAGAAACATTCAAAGATATCATCTAACAGGGACTTTTGCAGCATTTTCAGGGACTAAATTTGTTAAGTTTTGTGCACTTAACCTACCAGTTGGTGCAGTTGATGGTTGTGGAGTTTAATAAAACATTGCAGACTCTCATGTTTTCTGGATTACCTGGTTAATTATTGTCTGAGATTTGCTTCAGCTTAGGCTCTCTGTCGGTCTTTTTCACTGATTTTTTTCTTATCTTTTAGAGGGTAATAACAATAGTTTTGGATAATTATGGATTTTTAACCTACATTTTTATGATTAAATTTTTCATGTTCACTCCTTTCATGACCAGGTTTCTACTTCATACAAGATTGAAATAGGATTTATGGGAGGATTATTTAGTGTATATTGTGCTATGCATGCATTATTATTATTATTATTATTATTATTATTATTATTATTATTATTATTATCATCATCATCATCATCATCATTATTATTTTTTTTTTTGGGGAAATTTTCATAAATATCATTAAATTTGAAAATGCGCAAAAAATTTCATTTGCACTAAATTTGGTCTAAAATGTCACTTTTTGGGTATAAAAGGTCCATATTACCCTTAGTGGTACCTTTTTAGGAGCATTTAATGCTTGATTTGAAAGTTATTAATGTTGTAATGTGATGATTTGTTTTGTATATTATAAATATTAGAGATATGATTATTATATTAGATAGTATGAATTTCGGTAAAAAAAAAAAAAAAAATTGAATTTGAAAAATTGAAAAAAAAAAAAAAAACACATAACTTCTTACCATTCACAAACTCTAACTTCTTATAAATCTTTTTCATTTCATCATCAAGAAGACATTACTATTAGATTTATCATCCAATTTTCAGAGATTAGCTATTAGGAATTATTTATATTTTCATCTTATAGCTTACTATTTTAAATGTTAAATAGAGCATAGTCATATTTATTTGAAATTTTTGAAACTCTTATTCATTCATTTATTTGATTCTTGATATATTTTGGAAGGAAAAAAGATATCAACATCCTTTAGAAAATGTTAAGGATTCCATAATTAATTAACTATTAAGTTATTCCTTATTTATTTTTGGAAAGATATTGTGATGTTGCTGTTGAGAATTAATTATAACCATTAATGTTTTGAATAATACATGTTTTCAAGCTTTGCGACAATTTCGACAATTCAACTATTGAATTCGACATTTTGAAATAGCCATATTAGACATCTTAACTATTGAACTCGATATTTAGAAACTGTCGGGATAAATAATTTAATTGTTGAGATTCAACCATTCATTTCACCTTTTAATATTGAATGGATTTAAATATTCAAAAGTGTCACTTTCATGCTATTAAATATCAACATATTGATTGTGCAGAGTTTTTATCATGCAATCTCTAGTAATCATTTGAGATTCATCGTATTGCACGAGAAAAAGTTTGTTTACATGGATGATGAATAAAAGTGGAGAATGGACAAAACTACTTTCGTTTTAGTTCCGACAAGTATTACACTATGTACTCGTTATAGTAGAGTTGACCAAAATTGAAACACGTGTTCCAACCCCATTCTAACACAACTCATGTAAATAGACTTGATATCTAAAAGTAATTGAAGTTGTATTTTGAATGTTCCCTGATAGCGTTGTACATTTTGAAATTATATTATCATTATCATCTTATTACTGTTTGTATACATTAGTAGTGTTTAAGTTTACAAGCAAAATAATTACATAGATAAAAACTGCATACCATCCGACAGAAGGATTCTATCATTCTCGAAAGATGGTTGCAAAATAGAAAATTTGACTGAAAAAATGTATAAGGGACATGTTGTTCCAAAACACATTGTTAACTTACATTATTATTATTATTATTATTATTATTATTATTATTATTATTATTATCATCATCATCATCATCATCATCATCATCATCATCATCATCATCATCATCATCATTTAAAGACATTGCATAACATCCTAACAGTTAAACTATTGATTTTGACAGAAGGTTTCCGTCATTCTCGACCATTGGTTGCGAGCAGAAAATATAACTATAAATAAGATACATAAGAGATAAGCTGTTGCAGAGCATTTAGTAAAGATGTTACTATATTTATCCACGACAAAACTATAATACATAACTCAACAATTTTTCTGGTCCTAATTGAACAATCCAACAAGAATGAGAAATGATAAATGATAAAATGTGTAACCACATGTGGATGTAACCACCAAATCATGTTTATAACCACATTCTTGAAGGGGAGTAAAATGAGATCATTTAGTATACAAATCAATTCTAATGTAGTATTAACAAATTTCGTCACACTATTTCTTTACTCTCTTTCTTCTCTCCTCGGTGTATGGAGTCTTAGTAGATGTTGCAAGAAATCGGATATGTGTCGATCATTACCTTTTGTGTCAACAACATCATTACTTTCAATAGGTATGGTGGCCACATCCGTCACACTACAAGCTGAGGAAACTTTCTCATTGTCCGGGCATGACACTTCAAGCTCTATGGCTCCTCCATCTATTTGAAAACAACTTTTGCAACAATAACCGACATGCGTTCATTATTTCTAGTTTGCAAATTAAGGAATAAGATAAGAGCATTTAAAATTTTGAATTCGTTAACGTATATACCATTTACCTCTTGGTTTCCACTAGGCAATGGACCCTCATAATTATCCGACCACGGGTTAATGCCTCCTCCATCTAATTGAAAACAACAATTATAATACTATTGGACATGAATTCAATATTTATAGTTTGCACATTACGAAATGAGATGAGTGTATTTAAAATTTTGAATTTTTCAGATGTTAATGCTAAATATACTTATAAAAAATAATAAAAAAAACAAACTATAATGTTTGAGAAATATTACATTTAATTGTTGAGAATGACAGTTCATATCGAAAGATGATTCATCTGTCGAGAATAACTGAAACAAACTGTTGGGAAGGACAGTTTATCGCGACAGATGGGTCATATAACTGATCTTTTGAGAAGTTCTCGTGTGTCGAGAATTCATAACTGTATAGACTTTAATTGTGACAAATTAAACAGTTCGCTTAGAAGATTTGATACCCTTGTCTAACCTAGAAAAATATAATAAATAAGGTAGGTTGGAATGACAAGTATAATACATCAATTAGTTTCTACAAACCAAACAAATTGAGAGAAATATGACGTAAAAATTTGACAGAATGTAAAATATTTATTTAGAAAAATATTAAAAAAATCATATATAACACCCCAAAAATTTTGGAAAAAATTAAAATGCCCAAAAAAATATAAACCCCCCCCCAAAAAAAAATGAAGAAATCCAAATTATCTGTAAATAAACTCTCCAAACAAAGTCGAATCCAAAACAAAGAATAATCCAACTCACGGTCTAGATGTACGGAACTCAAAATTGATGGTGCAATCTAAAAGCAAGAAAAAAAAAAAGGAACAATGGTAAACAAAAATTGAAACAAAACCTTCAATTGATCGGAAAAAAACGCATATATTCGAAATCTTACCTAAGATATTCTTCTTCCTCTTGTATTGGCGTAATAAATGGGATCCCAACATAATAATTTGCTCTAAATATAGTTTTCAAAGAATCAGGAGAGAAAAAATAAAAAAGAAGAAAAGAGAAAGGAAAAATTTTGCAAAGAAACGTATTAAGAGAGAAAAATGAATGAGTTAAGACTTAAAATTTTTTGTTATATATATATTGTAAGGACTTTGAAGTACAATTGTCAGATGATTGATTGTCACATTTTCTCCAATTTTGTACAACTTTTTATGCTGTCAACCTGTCAACTCAAAGATGTGTAGGGTATTTGAATTTTTAAAAGGGGCAAAAATGTCCAAAATTGATAATTTTGCAGACTTTAAAAAAGTGATATTTTTGTAAATGCAAAGCCAAAAGTTGACTAATTTGATAATTTCCTCTTTTTTTTTTTTTTTTCTCAAAGCAACAACCAGAAAGCATTCTTTAAATTCAAGTTGCGATGAATAAATGGTGAAATACATATCAGAATTCAGAGTCCCTAGTTGCCCATAACTAGGCAAATAATAGTACAGGGAGAAACGTCGACTGCCACCTAGTCCCCATCTATTGGAACAAATCGTCAAGGTACAATATCAGGCTACTATAGCCATTTTTCTTAAGAATCACAGCATTACATTTGAATTTCAGTCATCCTATCACTGGTGCATTCCAGTGTGCTGTCTCCGAGGAACCTAATGGCATTTACATCATCTCCAGGGCGCTGGTCTCTAACGAGATCAACCTTTACCAATACAATAAATCCTTTACCAATCCAACCTCGTAGCAAGCTTTAGATATAGGTCTGAAGGACTTTGGTCGAGGCAGCTAAAGATCCTCAAATATTCATGTGTCCCCATTCTCCACTCACTACCTCAGCCCTTTAAATTGTAGTTCACGTCTCTACAACAATCTTTTTCACACAAAAGAGGAATTTATAACAAGTGTATGATATCGTTAACAAGCTAAGAAGTAGATCTAAGAGTCAAGATTATCATTCCAATGAGAACTACTATTCAATGGTTTATTTAACTATTTCGATTCTCAATTTCAATAAAGATAATTAAATTTGATTTTCATTTTCATCTTCAACAATATAGATCTAAGAAAACAAATAGAAAAAATAAAAATATGTAACAATCACTTTAGGATTTAATTGATGTAGAAAAAGTGTTGAGACTCATGATTTTGCCATAATTATCTCAAACTTTAATTAATCACAAATCAGGTAATAATTATATATTTTAATATTAATAGTAATATTATATTAATCATGCTCACCTAATTCATCCCCAATACCTTTCAAAACCTAAATCTCTCTTTCTTCTTCTTCACTCTCTCCCTTACCATGCTGTTTGACGTTGTCAGTCGGCATAAAGCTTCGACGATGGACAAGTGGCGCCACTGCAGATCAGGGTGGGAGAAGAGCAGGTGTGGTGGTGGTGTAAGGTGGAGGTAGGTTGGTGTT